AGAAATGGATGCTGAAGAAAAGGAGATAAGGATAGCCAACATAATGAAGGGCTGGGAGATTTTTGAGTTTTAAATAATTTAAAAAAATAGTCATGAGGATGATTTTTTTTTTTTTTTTTATTATTTTTAAAAAATTATTAATTTTTTTTTAAACATCAAAATTATAAAATAAATTAAAAAATAGTAATAAATTTTTTTTATCTAAAAATAATTATTGCTCTTTTGAAAAAGCAAATCTTCTTATATAGAGAATTCCTCTAAATGCATTCTTCTTAAATATACATACTATTTTTTTCTTCTTTAAATACATAGACAAGCTTGATTCCAAGTACATTAAACTTTTAATAAAGTTCTTTTTCTAAATGCATATCTTTTTTAAATACGCATTTTTAAAAAATCCTTATATGATTTCAAGTAAATACATTTAAAAGGATTCTTAATTTCAAATATAAAAAACTTTTTTTACATAAAGTATATTAAGAGTTTACTATATATAATATTGAAGACATTATTTAACAATTTTTAATAAAGTATGAGCTATCTTCCAAAAGTTTAAAATTTTAATATTAATATTAAAAACAAAAATTATAACAAATATAGTTTTATTTGTCTTTAAGTATTCAATATAAAACTAATTATCTTACTAAAATATTAAAATTAATAATTAATATAAATATAAAAATCCTTTTAAATAATTTATATTTTTTTAAAAAAAATATCTAATCAAGCTTAACTTCAAATATATATTCAAATTTCTTTCTAAATATATATTTTTATATACAAATAATTTTAAAAAATTTTTATATGATTTCAAAAAAATATACTTGAAAAGAATTTTCTAATTAATAATTTTAGTATTATATACTTGTTAAATGTTTATTTAAAAAATACATTAAAAAATATTATATATAATATAAAAGCTTATTAAATTTAATATTTTTATTTATAGTACAATTAAAATTTCTAGAAATCATTAAAAAAAATTTTTTTTCTTGTTTAAAATAAAAATAAAATTTTAAAATTTTAAAAACTTATTATATATATTCATATAATTTAATTTAAAAATTATTATTTAAAAATTATTGTTTATTTATTATTTCTTTTTTTATATATCTTTTTTATTTTTTTATTTTTTTAATTAATTAATAATTTTATCAAAAAATTTTATCAAAAAATTATTATAATTATTATAATTAAATTTGATATTATTTATTGATTAATAATTAAATTAAATATTATATATTCAAAAAACTATTCTATAATTATTATTATTCAAATTTTCAAAAAATAATCTTATATCTAATTTTTTTCTTAAATAATATTCTTTTTGATTTTTTGAATAAAAAAAATTTTTTTAAAAAATTTTTTAAATAAAATAATTAATTTCAAGATATTATATATAATAATTTACAATAATTAAAATTAATATTAATATAATGTTTTTATATATATTATCTTAATAATTAAAATATTTAATAAAATAATATATATAAAACTCTTTTTATTGATTCTTTTGTCAATCAAAAAACCAGATATTCTTTAAAGACTTTATATATTTATAATAATAATGTATATATACTGTATATATTTTAACAATAATAATTTTCTAATTAGCAAAACAAGTAGTAGTTATTACTAAGAATTCTAATGATTCTCTTCAATTCTGTATTTGATTCTCAAGTTTATATTAAATTTAATAAGTGGAGTTCTAAACTTTATGTGATTCCCTATGATTCTGTTCAATTTTAATTTTGAAACCATGGTTATTACTTGTTCTTTTTTAAAATGTTTTTTTGTTTATTTTTGTAATTAAACATAAGAAATCTATTCAAAAAATTTATAGTAAGAATATTTTTTTAAAAAAAAAATTAATAAAAAAAATACTTTTCAAAGATTTTTTAGAAATTTAAAAATTTAAAAAAATAATTTTTTTTTTGGTCTTTTTATTATCTATTGGATCTTTATTTTTTGTTTTTAAGTATTTTTTTTTTTTAAAAAAAAAATTTTTATTTATCTTAGTTTGATCTTGAATTTTTAATTATATTCAAAAATTCTAATAATTTGATTCAATTTAATTTTTAATTTTCAAGTTTATATTAAATTTAATATATGAATTATAATTTATTATTATTTTTAATAATATTTTGAATTTCATACAAGTCTATATAAGTTTGTTCAATTTTAATTTTTAAAACTATAATTATATTATATTCTTTTAAAAAATAATTAATTAAAATTACAATTTGGTTTATTATATTAATCACAAAAAAATAATTAAGAATATATTTTCTTATATGTTTTTAATAATGCAATATAAAACTAATAATATAATTGATTTCTAAAAAAGTTAAATAGTTTTTGATTGAAAAAGTAATATAGAAATATTAGATAAGGTAAAAGTTATAAGTAAAAAAAAAGTAATCATTTTTTATTTTTTATTTTTTTTCTTATTCTTTTTAAAAAATTAGAAATAATAACAAAATTCAAGTTTTATTTTAATCTGATAACAAGTTAAAACAATAATATCTATTTTAAAAATAGTTATAAAAAAGATCTTGAAATTATTTATTGGTTAAATAAAGCAAAATTCTAAAAAACATAATTTGAAAAAAAAATTAACAATAGAAAATCAATATTTTTTTTAATTAAGTCTTTAAATATAAAGTTTTAAAAAATTAAATATCTGATTAACTACAAATAATAAAAAGTAAGTAATTATAAAAAATTTGGATTTTTGTTTACTAAAATAATTTTTTTAATAATAGTTAAAATAGATAATATTTTTTTTTCCTTTTTTTCAATCTTTTTTTTTGTGTATACTTATATTGTTTTTTTTATTAAAAATCTTGAATCTTAATTTTTTTTATTAAAAGAACAATATTATTATTTCCATAAATTATATCTAAAGACTTTGACTATTAACAAGTAAGCTGAATTAAAAAGGATTTATACTTTGCATATATTTTTATACTTGTAATAATTCTTTATAATTTTTTTATAATTAATTAATTAATTAATTTCAGCTTTATTGCAAGTTAAAAAAAAATAATCCAATTATCATTATTTTATAATTATTTATTTTTAATAATAAATGATTTCATAAACTTTTAAATAATTTATATATGATAAAAAAATTTTTTAAAAATGTCAAATACTTAAAACTGAAAAATCAACTAATCTAAGAACAAATTAAAATACAAAAAATCTAATTATATGAAAATTTTTTGAAAACATATATTTAAAGAGAATGTGCATTTAAAAAAATTTTTTTTATTAAAAGTTTTATGTACTTGAAATTAAACTTGACTATACATTTAAAGAAAAGACATAATATGTGCATTTAGAAAGATTCTTTGTAATAATAATAATAATAATGTCTTAAAATAATACTTTCTAATAAAAATTAAATAATAAAACCTAATTACAAAAAATAACAAGTGTTAGGTTAAGAGTAGTTATTTTAGATGGCAGACAGGATTTTTTAGTCTATAATTTAGAAAACTAGGGCCGAAAAATCTTATTTGACTTTTCGTCGCCTTCAAAGATAATTGCTCAATTATAAACAACTATTATTTAAAAAATAAATAGAGGAAAATTCCATTCAAAATTAATTATCGTTAGTGATAAGCCGTTTATTTATTTTATTTTTTTAATAAAACTAAAAAACGTATGTTTACACAAAAGACGTTTATCCGAGAAATCCGTTTAACAAAGAGATATAACCCATTTTCTTCTTGAACTCCGGTTATTTTCTTACGTACACATAATTACTACGCCATAAGGTGACGTTTTCTTTTGTAGGTTCATCTCCAAATTGCTGGAACCTTCCAAACTGCGTGTCCATTAACACTGATGATCCGTTCGATAAAGATAAAATACAATTTGTAACATAGAATCTCATGGAACCTTTGAAAAATAAGCTACGACGTTCACAATATAAATAAGGAACTTTTCTCGTTTCTTAAAACATTCTCAAAAAAAAAAAAAATTCTTCCCACTCTTCATCTAGTGAAATCCTAGTAAAATCAATCTTTTTTTTTTTTTTTTTTCTTGACCCAACTTTATTATAAACGCATTCTATAACACGTTCACCTTTTCACGCGAGCACAATGTCGGACGTTGAACAATTTGCTTTTCAGGCTGAGATCTCTCAGCTTATGTCTATTATCATCAACACTTTCTATTCAAATAAAGAGTAAGTTTGTCTTATTATTGACGTGTCTACACGCTTTCATACCAGTAGACAGTGGTTTACGCTTTTATGAGAACGATTTTATGTGATATAAAGTTCAATTTTGGTAACCCGTGTAACCGATATGATTCTTTACTTATAGGATTTTTCTTCGTGAATTGATTTCTAATTCTTCTGATGCCTTGGATAAGATTCGTTATGAGTCCCTCACAGACCCTTCAAAGCTCGATAGCTGTCGCGATCTTTATATTCGAATTACCCCAGATAAAGAAAACAAGGTTCTTACACTCCGAGATACTGGTATCGGAATGACAAAGGTATATCATATAATAAAAATAACTTTTTATACTGTCTACGTTATCATACACGTGTAATTACTTATTCACTTTCCTTTTTGTGCAATATCATGGTTTTAGGCTGATCTTGTAAATAATCTTGGTACAATTGCTCGTTCCGGCACAAAGGCATTTATGGAAGCTCTTCAATCGGGTGCCGATATATCTATGATTGGTCAATTTGGTGTGGGTTTCTATTCTGCCTACCTGGTCGCTGATCGTGTCCAGGTCATCACGAAACATAATGACGACGAGCAATATATCTGGGAGTCGGCGGCTGGTGGTTCATTCACTATCGCTCGTGATACAGTTAACCCTCCACTCGAGCGTGGTACAGAAATTCGACTTTACCTTAAGGAGGACCAAACGGAGTATTTGGAAGAACGCAAAATCAAGGAAATTGTAAAGAAGCATTCCGAATTCATTGGCTATCCTATTCAACTTATCGTCGAGAAAGAAGTCGAAAAGGAGGTTGACGACGAAGAAGCCGAAGAAGTCAAGGAGGAGGAGGGTGAAGATCAAAAAGCTAAAATAGAAGAAGTTGAAGATGAAGAAGAAAATAAAGAAAAGAAGAAGAAAAAGATTAAGGAAATAACCAAAGAAACGGAAGAACTTAACAAGATGAAACCACTTTGGACTCGTAACCCAGACGACATAAAAAATGAAGAATACGCAGCGTTCTACAAGTCGCTGTCTAATGATTGGGAAGAACATTTGGCCGTCAAACACTTTTCCGTTGAGGGTCAACTGGAATTCCGCGCTATCCTCTTTGTTCCACGTCGGGCTCCGTTTGATCTCTTTGAAACAAAGAAGAAACGTAATAACATCAAGCTTTATGT